GCACTGAGTTGCCGCCATGTGATTGGCTGATTAGAAATTAAGTGTTAACGAGCAGTTGGACAGGTGTACCTAATAAAGTGGCCGGTGAGTGTATTTGAGCCTGTAGAGAAAATCCAGAAGTTGTTTTAGAAACCCATCAGATCAACTCTTATTAACCAAACCAAGAAATGAATCCGATGATGATGATGATGATGATGAAACTTCTGTTTGTCTCTTCATGTTGGGAAACTTTTTAACTTCCTGTTTGCTTTTAGACAATAAAACTAATGAGTAACTGTCGTCATGATTAGATTTAAATAAAGTTTTACATGATTGTTGTGTTTATTTCATCTGACTTCCTGTTTGTTGCTGTTTCCTGTGGTCGCTCTGCGTTGTGTTGTTTGTGTTGTTTTGTGTTGTTTACAGTCATGTTTTCAGTCAGAGGGTTCTGGTCTCAGGTGTTACACTTCAGGTGATGTTTAAAAAGCTTTCATGATGTCAGGGAAGTGAAAGATGAAGTGTTTGAGGAAGCAGGAGGAAAACAGAAGCTCACAGCTGATTGGAGAGAAAAGAGGAACTTCAGGCTCGTTGGGTTTTTCCTCTCAGCTGATCAGGAAACAAGTGATGGAAAAAACAAATAAATGACGACAGAATCAGTTTCTGACCTCATGGAGGATCAAAAACAGTTTGATAGATTTATAAAGTTTAGTGTCTGAATGCCGAGTCAGCACTTCCTGTCAGATCCGTTTTATATTATAAAAATAAATAATGTGAACATTTCTAAAGGAAACATGTTTTATTGGTGATTAAAGGCTGAAACTTAATCTTTTAAGCATTTCATCTTATATAAAATAGGAGAATAAAATGTTTAAAACCATAAAAGGCAAACAGGAAGTGACGTCAGAGCTGCATCCTAAGCGTTCAGATGCTTAATAAAAAGAACTTTAAATCAAAATGAAACAATTTTAAACTTTCAGCTCCTTTTTCAGACACACACCTGTCCACTAAACCTGCAGGTGAGTTTCAGACAGACAGCAGCGCCCCCTGCTGTTCAGATGAAGAACAGCACCATTTCAATCCAGTCTTTATGGGAAAAGTTTTTAGTCGAAAAATAAAGAAAAAAAGGTTAACAGTTTTATTTTATTTTTGTTCAACTTTGATTAATTTGAGCTGAACGATATAAATTATATTTTTGATTTAATTTTGAGCAGAAAATATTTCATTTGATCAAACTTTGACTCAGCTTGAAACAATTAAACTAATAAATAAAATAATCTTTGTTTTTCGGTTCTTTTCTGAAGAGTTTTTTGTTGTTATTTATTTACTATAAATCCAGATGTTTGTTCCTCAGATCAGAATCTGTCTGAAGCCTTGTTGTCCTCTGCTGGACACATCTGGACTTTGTGTTTCTGAAGCTGTAACAAATGTCTCAGTCTTCAGAGGGACACTGTCCAACTAAAGACACATTTATGTCCAAGCTTTCACTTCCTGTTGTCTTCACATGTTGTGTATTTCCACATGATGTTCTTTCCTCATGATGTATTTAATGACGAGCAGTCCTGCAGGAAACATAAAATCTGAAATCTGAGAGACAAAACCAAACTTTAAGTTTCAGAACAAACAGCCGAGAGTTGACAGAAAGTGTTCAGAACATTTTTCAACACAACTCCTGTCCAACAGGAAGCTTCATAATCTCACATTTGAGATTATTTTTGTTTTGTTTTTAGAAACGTGGAGGATTCAGGTGAACGTGACGCTGATTTATTATGAATACAAACTTCCTGCAGCATCACAGGTGAGAAGAACCGACTCCCAGCTGGATCTGCTGCACCTGACAGGTAAACATTTCACTTTATGAAGGAAAACTGGTTCCATTATAACTCACACATTAAAAAATATCTTTATTTCATAAAATCACACGAGTTAGTCCTTTAAAAACTGTTGTGTGGAGTTTTTAAGTTCTGGTTTGTATTTATTAAAACTTGAAGATGTAAAAACTGTTTTTAACGGACAGATTTATTGTTTTTCTGGTTAGTTTCAGTGTTAAACTGTAACAATGAAGATGTTTGCTGTCGTCTCTGCAGACGTAAACATATTTTTAATAATTTATTTTATATTTAAAACTTTATTTTCTCTGTATTTATCCATCAGTGTTCGACAGATGTTTTGTTCTGAAAGTTGTGAGAAACATGGAGCCTGAAAAGTTGTTTAATTATGTAAAACTGTAAACAGCTGATTAATGATGTAAACAGCTGATTAATGATGTAAACAGCTGATTAATGATGTAAACAGCTGATTAATGATGTAAACAGCTGTTTAATGTTAGCTAATAATTGAAAGTGGAATAAACTCTGGATAAAAGAATCAGCTAAAATGAAATTGAAATAAGACAATCATGAATGTTTCCAGATGTTTCTGAAGGAATAAATCCGTCTCGTCAGTGAAACACCTGGTTGTTTCCAGCTTCACCTTCAGTCTGGACCCAAACACCCCCCACCTGCAGAGCATCAATGGGGTCTCAGCCAGTTTACAGGACGTACTGGGAGGTGATTTCATGTCTCTGCCAGTCGGTGAGTTCAGCAGGTTTGATTCTCCCTGCAGCTGCTCTCAGTTTGACTCATCAGTTGTGTCTGCAGCCGACACAACACCAGATCAACCTGCTGAACTTATTAAGATCAACTTCCTGTCAGAGGAACAATCTGAGGTTTTATTACAGAGGCTTTAAAAAGACAACTTTGACCTTTTCAGTTTTGACCTGCAGGTTTTTTGTTGGACACAGTCTTTTTGTATCATTTTATTACATTAATGCTATAATTTAGTGTTTTATTTTGGCTACATTTATCTAATGTTTATTAATTTACAGCAGGGTTAATAACAGGCGGCCCACAAGTGACCAAGGTTCAGCTGCCAACTGGTTCATTCATCTCTTCAGCCCAAACCCCAGGTTTTCTACTTTAATTATTATAAGTTCTTTTAGTTAAACACAGACATGTTTAATTATCTAAATATCATTTTATAAAATATCAGAAAAGGTTAGTTTGTAAAACAGCTCTTACCTCTGGTCATCACTTCTTCTTTTAAATTTTATTGGCGGATGACAAACCAACTTCAGGTGCATTTACCGCCACCTACCGTCCTGGAGTGTGAGTGTGCTTCATATTTATAAATTATATATTCTCACATATATATGCCTGTTTGAAATACGATTAAATAACTGGTTCTTTTTAAAAGTTGAATTAATTGATTTCTTACTGATTTTGATTCATCTCCTCATATATTAATTAAAGAAAATTATTTGTTCTCAGTTTAAAACTAACTTTAAATGCAGATGTTCCTCTGAATATTTGTCACATTCTAATAAAACATGTTCCACTGTTTCAATCTGGTTACAGAAATTACAAATGTTTCATGTTTCCCACTCGAAGAAGAGAACCATTAAGACCTGTATGACCAATTCTAAGAAGTGATATAATCACTTCTTCCCTCCCACTTCCATATCTTCTTCCACTGCCCCCCCCCCCCCCAGTTTTTTGATATTATATAAAAACCTGCCAGTATCATGTTCATCCCATTGTTCCTGCCACACCTATTTGATTTTGTTTTTAATAATAGATTTTCCCTCTCCTTTGCTCAGAGGAATATTTAACTTAATAAAATCTAATTTCAGGGCCTGTTTAGCTAATTAATCTACTTCTTCATTTCCTTTTATTCCTACATGAGCAGGTATCAGATAAATCCAACAGAACAGCTTTTATTATGGAGCTGGACCAATAAGTGATTTATATTAAACAACAGATCTAATCTACAACACTGACCAGATTGTAACGCAGCTTGACTTTCTGATGCAACTACAGCTCTATTTATTTTCCTATTAATATTAGCAACCAAGCATTTTAAAGCTAATATAATAGCAATTAATTCAACTGTATAAACTGATAGATGATCTGTTGTTCTTTTAATCATGGGTCCTCTTCACTGGAACAAGGAGTGATTGACAGACAGTGATTGACAGACAGTGATTGACAGACAGTGATTGACAGACAGTGATTGACAGACAGTGATTGACAGACAGTGATTGACAGACACACTGAATGAGGTGTGCTGAAGCAGGTAAACAGGTCAAAGCTGCAGCACAGACAGATGTTTCCTACAGATGTGAGCAGTAGAGGTCAGCAGAGCTCCTCACAACTAAACTGTCTCTTTTTACAAACTGAAATTTGACCTGAAACTTTCAGGAGATGGTTTTCATTACATGACCTCTGATGAGGTAAAGTCTGGAATTAAATTTATTTTACAGTTTCTTTCAAATCTGTGTTTTATTATGTTGATGATTAAAATCTTGCTTCCTTCATAACAAACAGAAAAACATTTACAACCAGATTTGATTCCTGCAGAACTGTTTCTGTCACTTTATTGTTTTACTGAACATGAAATGTGTTTATGGTTATAAAGTTTAAAGGACAACATTAATGTCCACTTTGAGACAGAGGTGTCCATCAGCCCGTCCAGGTGTCTTTGAATCACCTGAGTTCAGGTGAGGAGAAGCTTCCTGCAGTTCTGGTTCTGGTCCTGTCTGCACACAGGACTGAAAGCTGTTTAATCCAAACCCTTCTGAGAAAACGGAATGTTTCAGGATATATTTTAATGTATTTACTGTAATTAAAATTGGTTTTATTTTGTGAGGGCGGTTTTATTAGTTCATATTTTATGCTTTATTTTTTATACCCAACCGTGAGAAAAAGAGTTAAAGGTGTGTTTGCTGAGGTAACTTCTTGTTTGTTCAAACAGCTCGTGTAAAGTCAGGCAGGACCTCGGTCCTCTGCAGCTCCTGACGGTCATTAAGTGTGCCTGACGCATGGACGCAGACCGACCTGCGTAACTGAAGCCTGCAGCTGCCAGAACACATCCATCATCATTTACGTCCTGCTGGGCCCCGTTTGTCTC